CTCCCCACAGCAGAGACAGGATGCTGTTTATTTGCACTCATCTGGGGAGTCAGCTCCTGTCTACTGGGAAGACTGGGACAGCATGTCCCGCCTCGGATCCAGACAGAAACCTGATATCAGCCACACACAGGCGGACTCATCAGGTCCGGTTCTGCTCAGTTCTCAGCAGAACCCTGCGGACCCCGCCCACTGAGCAGGAGGAGCAGGAGGAGCAGGAGGAGCAGCAGCAGGAGGAGCAGAGGCTCCTCAGCAGCGGGTTCACCTCAGGCTGCAAGCAAGAAGAACCCAGAACAGAAACCCGGACCGGTTCTAAAGAGTCCCGAACAGAGACCGGAAGTCCAGGATGAATAAACTCACCTTCTTCTGCAGATTTCATCCTCTCCTCTGAGGAGAAGCTTACAGTGGGAGCTCAGCGGTGGGACCTCTGCTCCATAAATGTCCTCCAGCCGCAGCAGGTCCTCCTTCCTCCAAACTTTAAACTCTCAGTTTCTGATCCAAGTCAGGAAAAAAAGAACCCAGAACGGAACCGAAGCAGCGGACCGGTCCAAGCAGGAGAACGGGGAGCTCCTGGCTGTCTGGTCGGGCTCTCCTTCACCGAGCAGGGGGATCCTGACTCCGTGGTTCGCTGTGACGCACTGAGAGACTCCTGCGCTTATAAACGCGGGGATCACCCCGGCGCGTGGCGCGCCGCCCTCTGCGCTCTGACGCACCGCTTTGGACGAGCGTCCAGCAAACACCACAGAGGCGTAGCCAGAAAAGTTTTAGAAGGGGGGCCACTGGGCAGGCAAGAACCACTGAGGGGTGGCCGAAAGCCAGGGGCGGATTTAGGAAATGTGGGGCCCTAGGCAAAGACAGGCAGGGGGCCCTTTTGATTGGGGAGGCCTTCCCTTCAACCGGCCCCTTTTTCCGGTTGGGGAATTTTTATTGGATTGGCCTTCCTTTTTTTTTTTTGGTTTTTTTCTTTTTCTTCTTGTTTTCCTCTCTATGGCTGTGTTCCTATTCCTGGGCTGCATCCTCCAAGGACGCGGTCTACCTGGACTGGATCCTTCGAAGTCCTTGAAAATAAGGAGACCGGAAGAGTTTTGGCTGTGAATTCGAACAGGTCTACCCTTTGCCGGGTTTTACCGCTGTATGCTCTGTTGCTTAGCAACCATGAGAGTTGACACACAAAGCAGGAAAAGAATGAATACAGAAGTTTTCAAAACTGTTTATTTCTTTTTTATTATAAAGTGAACAAAAAC